TCGACGCGATGCGAAGCAACGCGATGCGAAGCAACGCAACACAAAGCGTTGTGACTCTGTAAGGCTGTCCTGGCTATATTGCATTATGTTAAATGTTAAATTTAAGAAAACAGTAAAGAAAAGTACGTCAACACAACACAACAAGACAATTGCAGACTAAGAACTATTTACATACGGAGTCTCCATTTTACAGTAGTGCCCAGAGGGCCTCCTTGTCCTCCACGTCAGGTCCTGCCTTGGGACGCACAGAAGCACAGAGGAGCCATGAATTCATGGCTGACAACATAAGTTAAAGGAACACTCATGTACTACCTATGTCATCATAAATAGCCTATACAGCATGTTTGTTTTCACATGGAGAACTGACTTGCCTCTAATCTTTTTCTTGTCCTTTTACCGTGCACGACCAGCGAACTACCCCCCCCCCCCCCCCCACCACTGGGGTGGACCACAACGGGTATGTGTTTACACACCTTCTGGATCCTGATTGGTGTCGCTGCTGCAGCCGCAAGGCACTGATTGGATGGGCACAGGCCGTAATACAGTTTATATGTTTAACAATAGGAAACGTAGTTTTAGCTGTTTTAAAATTACACCAAGTTTATTTCGGATTATTCCAACGGAAGAATACAAGGCGCAGGGAACTTTGAGGTGCGTAAACGCTTTTTATAGGTGCGTAAACGCTATTTCCAACATTCTAGAGGTGCGTAAACTGCGTTTACGTGCGTTTACCCTCCACTACAGCCCTGCCTATATCTAATAATACCAAATACAAAGATCCTTTCACAAACACAACACTAACGCAGGTGTGGACATGCACGTCTACAAGACACACTGGCACAGGACAAAGGGAGACGCAGACAAGTATCCATGAGGGAGGTGACGGAACAGGTGGAGACAATTAGGAATCGGGGAGACAATATCACAGGAGACACCTGAGGAAGGGCAAGGCACTTGAAACGAGAGGGGGTTTAGACGCCACAATAAAACAGGAAGTATCAAAATCAGACGTAAGACGGGACACAAACACAAACTTCACAAACATGTATGACAGTACCCCCCCCAAGGCCAAATTCCAGGCGGCCTTGGAATGTCCGGATGGTCTCTGTAAAAATCTCGAACGAGATCAGGGTCCATGATGAGGCTGGGAGCCACCCATTGTCGTTCCTCCGGGCCGTATCCCTCCCAGTCTACGAGGTACTGCCAGCCTCTGCCGCGCTTCCGTACTGCCAACAGCTACTTCACTGTGTAGACCGGACCACCGTCAATCATTCGAGGGGGGGGGCGGGGGGGCTTGAGGTCTGGCACCATACTGCTCTCCTTGACTGGTTTTATTTTGCTAACATGAAGTGTGGGGTGAACACGAAGCGACCTGGGCAGGCGGAGGTGTATAGCAGCTGGGTTGATCACTCTGGACACGGGGAACGGGCCGACGAACCGTGGGGCCAGCTTGCGTGACTCCACCTGCAGGGGTAGTTCCTTGGCCGCGAGCCACACTCGCTGGCCGGGCTGATAAACCGGAGCCGGTCTCCGTCTGCGGTCTGCTGCTCTCTTGACCCTGTCCCCCTGTCTGATCAGCGTCTGGCGAGCTGCTGCCCAGATAAGGCGGCAGCGGCGGACCAGGGCGTGAGCAGAGGGCACAGACACCTCTGATTCGGACTCTGGGAAAAAAGGGGGTTGGTAGCCGAACACACATTGGAAGGGGGACATACCAGTGGCGGAAGTGGGGAGGGAGTTATGGGCAAACTCGACCCACGTCAGGTGCTTGCTCCAGGCTGCAGGGCACTGCGCCACCAGGCACCGGAGGCCGGTTTCCAGCTGTTGGTTGAGGCGCTCAGTCTGGCCGTTAGCCTCAGGGTGGTACCCTGATGTAAGGCTTGCCGTGGCTCCGATGAGCTTGCAAAACTCCAGAACCTGGAGACGAATTGTGGCCCCCGATCCGACACAATGTCCCGGGGGAAACCCTGAATCCTAAAAACACTGTCCATCATCACCACTGCCGTCTCCTTAGCTGATGGCAGTTTAGGTAGGGGTATGTAGTGCACCATCTTGGAGAATCTGTCCACCACAGTCAGGATAGCGGTGTTACCGTTTGACGTTGGGAGCCCCGTGACAAAGTCTACCAAGATCTCGGCCCATGGCCGGGACGGAATGGGCAGTGGCTGGAGCAAGCCTGCCCGGGTTCTGAAGGAGTTCTTGTTTCTGGCACAGACTGAGCATGCCCCCACGTACTCCCGGACCTCCGGCTCCATGGCGGGCCACCAGAACCTCTGCGTGATGGCAAACATGGTCCGCCGTACGCCCGGATGGCAGGTGAGCAGGGACGAGTGAGCCTAGTGGCTTCTCTTACCACAGCTATGCCGATGACACCCAACTAATTCTCTCCTTCTCTCACTCGGACACCCAGGTGGCGGCTCGGATCTCTGCCTGTCTAACTGACATCTCTCAGTGGATGTCCGCCCACCATCTGAAAATCAACCCCGACAAGACTGAACTACTTCTCTTTCCCGGAAAAGATTCGCTTACCCAGGACCTGACAGTCAACTTTGGGAACTCCGTACTAACGCCCACTTTGACCGCTAAGAACCTCGGCGTCACACTCGACAGCCTACTCTCCCTGACTCCCAACATCACCGCGACAACGCGATCCTGTAGATACACGCTCTACAACATCAGGAGAATATGTCCCCTTCTCACTCAGAAGGCCGCGCAGGTACTGATTCAGGCTCTTGTCATCTCCCGCCTGGACTACTGCAACTCCCTCCTGGCAGGTCTCCCTGCCACCGCCATTCGACCTCTGCAGCTCATTCAGAATGCAGCAGCTCGACTGGTCTTCAACCTTCCGAAATTCTCCCACACTACTCCACTCCTCCGCTCTCTTCACTGGCTACCGGTGGCTGCCCGCATCCAGTTCAAAACATTGGTGCTCACGTACCGTGCTGTGAATGGATCGGGTCCAGCTTACATCCAGGACATGGTCAAACCCTACATCCCAACCCGCACTCTCCGCTCTGCATCTGCAAAACTACTCGTCCCTCCCTCACTGAGAGCAAAACACTCGACTAGATCTCGACTCTTTGCTGTCCTTGCGCAGAAATGGTGGAACGAGCTCTCTGAAGACACCAGGACCGCAGAGAGCCTTCACATCTTCCGCCGCAAACTAAAGACACACCTCTTCAGACTCTACCTCGTCTAAAGACTAACAAATTGTAGCACTTAAATTGTACTTGTAACGTCACTCATCTATAGCAAATTGTAAATTGGCTTATTTGAGGAAATTGCACTTTCTTGTTTCTTGTTCTCCTGAGTTTGTACCCTATGGTTGAATGCACTTATTGGATAAAAGCGTCAGCTAAATGACATGTAATGTAATGTAATGTAGTGAATCACCTGAGGGTGTAATTCCACAGGGACAAACAGGCGATTATCAGGACACCCACGAGGTGGAGGGGTCTCACTGATCTCACCTGCTTCACCTTGGATTCTATAGGCTAGGTCACTGCTCCAACCACACAGTTTAGTGGGAGGATAGGCTCAGGTGCCCTGGCCACCGACTCGGGGCTGAACAACCGTGACAGAGCATCAGGCTTGGTGTTCCTCGACCCCGGTCTGTAGGATAAAGAAAAATCAAAGCGGTTAAAAAACAAAGACCATCGGGCTTGACACGAATTGAGTCGCTTGGCTTTCCTAATATATTATAGATTTTTGTGATCTGTCCAAACCAAAAAACGGGTGCTGAGCCCCCTCAAGCCAGTGCCGCCATTCCTCCAATGCTGCCTTCACTGCCACGGTCCCCCACGTCATAGTTCCGCTCTGCTGCCCCCGTCAATCGGCGGGACAAAAAGGCACAGGGGTGAAGCTTGTGGTCCCCTTCGGCTCGCTGGGAGGGGATGGCCCCGATCATCCCCTCCCAGCGAGTGTGGTGAATCTCCGCTTGAGCTCCCAGAAGGCTGCGTCTGCGTCGGCCGACCAGCGAAACGGGACCTGTGGGGGAGTGAGAGCATGGAGCGGGGCTGCTGTCGCGCTGAAGCCTCTAATAAACCGCCTGTAGAAGTTGGCAAAACCGAGGAATTGCTGCAACTTCTTGAGGTTATCAGGTGTAGGCCAATCGGCTACCGCACTTACTTTAGCCGGATCCTTCTGAACCTTTCTTCTGAACCTTTAGATCAAGATGTCATCAATGTATACATATACAAAATGATCTGATGACGGGACACAAACACAAACTTCATCAACATGTATGACACTCGGACACTTTTCCTGCATTAAACAAGACGTTTTTAATTAACATGAATAAAAATATAACTTGTGTAAACCCGTCATTTCTGTTCAGTGTTCAGTATTTATGAGGCAAAAGTAACTTGTTCAAGAGATGTATGTCTTTATTTTTAAGTCTTATTAGAAATATTCACAAAACAAATCAAAATGAGCCAAAGCGACTTTAAGTCATTCAAACCACTTTTCTCACCAAAAGAACATTTGCATCTATTTTATTAACTTTCTCCATTGACCTTTTATACAGTATGAGAATATATTAGCATTATGCTTCTGAATATACCGCTTCAGTCCATGTTTATTAGTTTGTAAATATGCTTCACATATTGTAATGTATGTAATGATTGAATAAACAAACACTAATATCTATGAACTGGTCATTAATAAAAAAAGGTTTGTGAAAGAGCCTCAAGAAATATATAATTTTTCATAGAATATAACTTGTGTAAACTTGTTATTTCTTGTCAGTGTTCAAGTTATTTATAAGGTATAAATGTATGTTTCTTTGTTTACAATCAATTATCGTTATTTATAAGACATCTTAAACATTTTCACAAAACAAATCATGAGCCAAAGTGACAACAAAAATAACATTTGCATCTATATTATCAATTCACTTTCATGCACAATAACAACAACACAAAGTGTATTCTGTGAACATGATGGAAAGGTCAGAGGCGTTTATGAGAATAATAAATATTCAACAATATGTTTTCAGAGGCTTCACATCAGAAATAATTTAATTTGCTGATTTACTCAAAGTCAAACTTCAGCTTTGGATATTTAGTGAAAATAAAACAGTCTGGATTCAAAAGGTTGAAATAGATATTCTCCATAAGGGTCATGATACAGAAATAAAGAAAAAAACATACAGTATTTATATAAAATATGTACATTTATTCCCTTTAATGAATAAAATCATCACATGAAATCAGAGAATGATTAATTTACTCCGACAGGAGAGATGATCAGAGGAGCAGAGTTTCTACCATCGTAATAATAACCAGGACTGAAGAACGGGAAGAGCTTCTCGGTGAAGGAGCAGCCAGTGAAGGAGTAGACGAGAGCTGCAGCTTCTACGTCATAAAAGGAGACCACACCCTCCTCATAGTCCACAAACACCCCCACCTTCTGAGGACCAGACTTCACAGAGAGAACAACTGAAGGATCATCAGGTGCATAGTATATATTTCCATTTATCAAACATATGATCCAGTAACCATCCTGAGGACTCCGTGAGATGATTCCCTTCCTGTTGACTGACTCTCTGATCACTCCTAAATACCACCGAGTCTTTCCTTCAACCTGAACCTCAAAGTAGAATCTGCCTGAAGAGAAACTCTGCTTTGTTAAAACACAGAACCAGCTAGAAAATCTCTCTGGGTTGTTTGGGAGATTCTTGTTCACATCACCACGTTTCACTTGTTTCCCATCGTCAGACAGGATGAGTAGAGGATGAGCTGTTTGAGGATCAAGAGTCAGATCGACTGCAAACATCTGGACCCTCTTCAGCTCAGCAAACCACTTCATCTTCTTACTGAGTGTCTCCTCCAGCTGAGACACAGCTCTCACCACAGTCCCCTCATATGAAGGACAAACACTGACCTGTGTCCAGTCCTTGGTGGGTGGTGGCTGATGGATGTTTGAGGACTGGGAGAAAAATGGAGGTGGTCCTTCAGAGAGAGACAGCTGCTCCACCTCAGCGCTCCTCTTCATCAGCTCAGAGATTTCCTCTTCCAGCTCTCTGATGAAAGCTTCAGCCCGGTTTCTTTTGTGGCTTCCTGCCTTCTCTCCATTGTTTTGAGGAGCTCCTTCAAGCCTCTTTCACAGACTCCATCAGATCAGTGAAGACCTGAATTACCTTCTGCTTTCTCTCTGCCTGCATCTTCCTCACTGAGGTCGACCGAGTGTTTGATCTCCTGAATCTTCACTCTTCTTTTCTGGATCATCTGCTGCATTTCAGCCTCTGTCTTCTTCAGCTCAACCTTCTTTTCTTCATATTCTTCTTCCAGAGGAACAACATCATGGTTCTTGTGGTCTAAAACAGTGCAGAGCATGCAGACACACGTCTGGTCGCTCTTACAGAACAGCTCCAGAGGTTTATCGTGCTTCGTACACATCCTGCCTTCCAGGTTCTCCACAGGGTCCATCAGCTGATGTCTCTTCAGGCGTGAAGCTGTCAGATGAGGCTCCAGGTGAGTCTCACAGTAGGAGGCCAGACACACCAGGCAGGACTTGAGGGCCTTCACTTTGGTTCCAGTGCAGACGTCACAGGGAACTTCTCCTGGTTTGGACTCTTGTTGCTCTGAGCTGCTGCTGCTGGCTTTCTGCTGAGCAGACTGTCTGAACTGAACAACCATCTCAGAGAACATGGTGTTGACCCTCAAATCAGGTTTGGTGATGAAGTCCTTGTTACACATTGGACACCGGTTCTGGTTGCTGGTGTTCCAGTGTTCATTGATGCAGTTTATGCAGAAGTTGTGTCCACAGGGTGTGGTGACTGGATCAGTGAACACATCCAGACAGATGGAGCACAGGAACTGATCTTCAGATGGACCATAATTTGCAGAAGCCATGTCTACACATGTTGTGGAAGAGAAGAAAAACGTTTTATTTAAAATAGTTTTTATGAATAGTTTTATTTTGAAACCAGTCCAGAATGTGTCCACATGCTGTGAATAAAGAGCAGCACGCTAACAACGCTCTGCTTACTTGGTGACAAACACGTAGCGTCTCATTTAGATAACTCACACTAAAAGCCTCCAGCAGGTTCACTGTGGAACACGTTTAACTTGATCCACCAAGAGGAAACAGAGGAAGGGATCAGGAAACAGAGGTAGGGATCAGGAAACAGAGGAAGGGATCAGGTAACAGAGGAAGGGATCAGGTAACAGAGGAAGGGATCAGGTAACAGAGGTAGGGATCAGGAAACAGAGGAAGGGATCAGGAAACAGAGAGACACTAAAGTTTAAAGCACAGAGATTCAGCTCCAAGTGACTGAAGTCCTGGACAGTTTGAAGCTGTTAGACTGAGTTTCTGTATCGTGGGACTGTGGATAAACACACGTGGTTTTATTGTTAACATTCTATCAAGTAGGAAGTGAACAGAGAGGAACTTCCTGCCTGAGTAAAGTACAAGTTGTGTGTTCTTCCTGCTTGTTGAAGGTGTAAATGTGCCCAGCTGTACTCACCAGTGTTCTGAAGAGACTCTGCTGTGTTGCTGAGGAACACCTGATGACGTCACTTTGACTTTTCTCTCAGAGAAACACGGAGACTGTCTTCACTGCAGCGCGTCTGCCTCTCTGACCAACTAACTTTTATCTCTGGAGAGTGATGTAGAAGCTCCAACCCTCCGTGTAGCTCCGCCTCTTACTGGAGCGTCATCAGCAGGTGAGGTTTGTTTCCTCCTCTGATTCATGCTGACTGCTGGAGGATTCAGTCATCAACAGTATGCAGAGAGAGACAAAGTCCGCTGTTCGAACAACTTACACCAAAGGTACTAAAATTGGAGATTAAGGACTTTGTTCTGTATAACTAATAATAATCATATTTCTAGTCAGCACACGGTTGAGGCTTTTATTCTGAAGTTAGCACATCTTCCATTCCTGTTTCATCCTGACAGTTTTAAGGCAACGGCCATTAAGATGAAGCATGTTAAGATAGTAAGAAAGAGTGAGGATGTATCTAGTTCTACTTCAGTGATCAGCTGGTGGCTTTTCTCTGGCTCCTTATTGGACGATGGAGTTTTGATGGAGTGTTGCTCCCAGCATGCAGATGAAGATCAGCTGGCTCTCAGATCAGATCTCACTACTGTTCACCGTGTGACGACTTCCTGTGAGGTCTGACCTCAGTTTGTTTGTCCTGCAGCTCCCCGACCTGAAGGATGCTGCTAGCAAGCTAACAGTGTCCCAGTGAAGGTATCCGGGGCTTTTATTGTGAAGGATGGAAACAAAAGTGTAGAGATGTTCTGGAGTGTCAATCAGATAGTAAAGTCTTGCTACAAACAGCAAATGATTATTTAAGTATCGGAAAGTACTGCTTCCTCAGCAACAATTCAATTATATTGAATATTTCCGACCTGAATACTCATCCTCTCATTATTAGTGAGCATGCTGGTGACTTTTATATGGAACAGATTTAACACCGAAATCTGTCACTAGATTCAACACGTCGCTGGTCAAAGATCCTCACTTTAACAGTGTGATTAAAAAAGAGTGGGCATCCTTCCTAGAAACACGTGATTCCCCAGTTTCACCGACCATCCTACAGGAAACAAGGAAAGCAGCTTTAAGGGGAATAATCATCTCATTCAAGTTTACAAAAAATGAAAATAAAAACAAATCAATCGACTTCATTAATGCAAGTGACCCAACATTGGTAACACATTAAGGAAGTATGAATTCCAAATAAATGAAATTATAAATAATAAAGTTCAATTCCTAAGACACAGACTTGGACAAGACCATTTTCACCATAGCAATACAGCTGGTAAATATTTGGCAAATCAAGTTAAATTAAATAAAAAAATAAATCATTAAGCACTCAGAAGGAAACCCCACAAATTCACCCGATGACAGAATAATATCTTCAGAAGTTTTCATGCCAATATACATTCATCTAAAAAGGACCCAAATCCAGAAGACATGATTTCCTTTCTCAACACCTTTGATCTACCACAGATTAACCAAGAACAAACTAACATACGTGACTCACCTTTAACACATAAAGACCTTATGGCCAATAACAAAGCACCGATGATAACTGAGAAAAAAACAAATTTGCAATTTCCGTATGTGACTTTACCCGGGAGGCTGAGTAGTGTGATACCCCTGTAATTGGCACACACTCTCTGGTCCCCCTTTTTGAGAGGGGTACCACCACCCCGATCTGCCACTCTTTTGGCACTGTCCCAGACTTCCACGCAATGTTGAAGAGGCGTGTCATCCAAGACAACCCCCCAACACCCATTGCTTTTAGCATCTCTGGACGGATATCATCAATCCCCGGGGCTTTGCCACTGCGGAGTTGTTTGACTACCTCAGTGACCTCCACCAGGCCAATTGACGATGATCCCTCCTCCGCCTCCAGCTCCGCCTCTCCCAAAGAGGGCGTAGTAGTTGGGTTCAGGAGTTCCTCAAAGTGTTTCTTCCACCGCCTGATAACCTCCTCAGTCGCGGTCAACAGGGTCCCATCCTTACTGTACACAGCTTGGATGGTTCCCCGTTTCCCCCTCCTGAGGTGCCGGATGGTCTTCCAAAAGCACTTTGGTGCCGACCGAAAGTCCTTCTCCATAGTTACCCCGAACTCCTCCCATACTCGCTGCTTTGCCTCCATCACGGCAGAGGCTGCTGCCCTTCGAGCCTGTCGGTACACTGCAACTGCCTCTGGAGTCCCACCGGATATCATAACCCGGAAGGGCTCCTTCTTCAGTCGGACGGCTTCCCTGACCACCGGTGTCCACCACGGGGTTCGAGGGTTACTGCCCCTTTATGCACCTAAGACCTTGAGGCCACAACTCACCGCCGCAGCTTCAGCAATGGAGGTTTTGAACATAGACCACTCTGGTTCAATGTCCCCTACCTCCACAGGAATGTGAGAGAAGCTCCGCCGGAGGTGTGAGTTGAAAATCTTTTGGACCGGGGCCTCCTCCAGACGTTACCAGTTCACCCTCACTACACGCTTGGGTTTACCGGGTCTGTCCCGAGTCTTCCCCCATCCTCTGACCCAGCTCACAACCAGATGGTGATCAGTTGACAGCTCTGCCCCTCTCTTTACCCGAGTGTCCAGAACATGCGGCCTCAGATCAGACGATACGATTACAGAATCGATCATTGATCTTTGGCCTAGGGTGCTCTGGTACCACGTACACTTATGAACATCCTTATGTTCGAACATGGTGTTTGATATGGACAATACGTGACTGGCACAGAAGTCCAGTAACAAACACCCGCTCGGGTTCAGATCAGGGAGGCCATTCCTCCCAATCACGCCTCTCCAGTTATCTCCATCGTCGCCCACGTGCGCATTGAAGTCTCCCAGTAGGACTATGGAGTCCCCCACTGGAGCCCCATGCAGGACTCCATTCAGGGTCTCCATAAAGGCAGAATACTCTGAGCTGCTGTTTGGTGCATATGCACAGACAACAGTCAGAGTTTTCCCCCCCACCACCCGAAGGCGTAGGGAGGCGACCCTTTTGTCCACTGGGGTAAACTCCAATGTAGCAGCACTCAGCCGGGGACTTATGAGTATCCCCACAACCGCCTGGCGCCTCACACCATGGGCCACTCCGGAGTAGAATAGAGTCCACCCCCTATCCAGGAGTGTGGTTCCAGAGCCGAGGCTGTGCGTAGAGGTAAGCCCCACCAGATCCAACTGATAACGCTCCACCTCCCGCACAAGCTCCAGCTCCTTCTCCCCCAGAGAGGTTACGTTCCACGTCCCCAGAAACAGCATCTGCCGCCAGGGTCTGTTCCGTCTAGACCCCCCACTGTCACTGCCACCCTTGTAGCAGCGCACCCGACCCCATCGGTTTCCTCCACAGGTGGTGAGCCCATGGGGAGTAGAGTGTTGGGCTGCCGCGTCACTCCGTCGGGCTGTGTCTGGTGGCCGGGCTCCGCGGTAAACCCGGCCACCAGACGCTCGCTGTCGGGTCTCTTTGGACGCAGGAAAAGCCTCTGACAAAGTAAACTCGACATTTCTCATGAGCACATTACAAACATTTTGGGGAATCGTTTATTAACTGGGTTCAGATTCTGTACACTGCACCTACAGCCACGTTCATCACTGTGGAGGGAAAATGTTTCTCATTGTCCAACATATATTCATGTTATAATCAGTTTTTAGAGAGTAGGGATACATCTATATTAACATAGATATACAGATGAGTTACAATTCAACAGAGAGAAGGTTGCAAAGATATGTAAAGACAGAAGTCATGGTGATGCTGGGGACGGCAAAAGGTTTACGACAAGATAGTGTAGAGCAGGTGTCACCAACCCAGTGCCCGCGGGCACCAGGTCGCCCGCAAGGACCATATGAGGCGCCCGCAGGCCTGTTCTAAAAATAGCACAACTCACCACTAGTGAGCGGTCTAATAAAAATGTAATTTTAAAATAAATCATTTTTTTAATCACACTTTCCTTTATATGTATATGAAAATGACAAGATATTTAAAATAAAATAATTGAAAATATTTGTATAATACATGAAAGTTTGGATAATTTAGTCGAACTCTGACCTATTCTAGTTCAAAGGTGAGTGCGGGAACAGCAATGATGCGGAAATGAACGCACATTCTTACCCCAAAAACATGGCAGAAAAAAGGAAGAGAACGTATCATTTTCACAGTGAATGGGAGGAAGAATTCTTTTTAACAAGTGTGAAAGAAAACTGCGTTTGTCTCATTTGCGGGGCGACTGTGGCGACGGCAAAGCGGCACAATGTGGAGAGACGCTACACGCAAAAGCTACCAAGCTAACTGCCCCGCGGGAAGCGCGCCGCTGGAGCTAACGGCAGCTTTGGGAAAGCAGCAGTCTTTTTTTACGAAGCCGGCAAAGAACTCCCCAAATAGAACCCGA